AAAATTGGCAAAACTATATTTTAGTTATTTACATAAACCTAACACTGTATGACCCCTCTAAGGCAAGTTATGGGCTTGGGTACAAACCATGCAATTGACATTCTCACCTCCAAAGCCAGATTGTTTGAACAGACCTTTCCTGCATTCCTGTGAACAAAGGCACCAAGGCAAGGCTTTCGCAGGCAGAATAATATATACAGTGTTCAACAAAACCCTCAACTTTATCAGGGTTTGCTGATAGGAGTGGATTGCAGGATAGTTTTATCAGCTGACCTTTTTCCATAGCTAAGTCCCTGTTTATTTTTTAACCAGGATGTAATTATGTATCAGGTGTTTGTGTCTTTGTAACCGAAGAAACTACCAAAATGGTTTGTGTGAGTTTTTTCAGTTAAAATGGCTATGCTAACAGCACAATAACCAGTCCTAATTGTTGGCAAAACTGAAAATAAGTTGACAGAGTTATTTCCTTTCCTGATACATCACTAAGCATTGGTTTCATCCAAGCCCTACTGTCTTGTTACATTGGCTAGCAAAGTTCCAGAAACAACTATGTTCTATTGGACAGTTCCTGTTTGTGTTTGTCCAACCACTGATGAAACTCTACAATGTTTAAGTATCTCAATGGGCATCTTTTGATGTCAGGAAAGCTCTCATGGCATCGTTCTGGTACTTTATTAAATGGATTCAAAGCCATAAGGTCATTGATCATTTCGAGTTCATCTTTCAGTGAGTCTCTTGTGGTGTGCTGCGCTGAAGACTTGTGCAAGCCGACTGATCTGTCAAACTGCTCCTCAACTTCTGTGATGCCATTTGTGGCTTTACACACTTTGCTGATTGACTGCTTGGTTTTATTTGGCCCCATTCTCTGCACAATGCTCTTGCTCAGCCTGTTTTGAATTTCCTGGGCAAGATCATCTTCAATGTTCTTGCCATCACCACCTCTCCAGTTGACAAAAAAGCCCCATTTAAATTCTTCGGCAAGACGTGGGGTTAACATGCACTCAATCTGAGCAATACTGATAAACATTTCAATGGCGTATTTGCTGTAAGTCCCCATTGACTTAAAAACAGACAGTAACAACTTCTGATTAATCAAATTTCTTTCTCCATCTGCCTCAGCTGCAGTGTCTTTCATCTGCAGAAGAAGAATGGTGAGGAAGATGAAACACAATCCATAATTTGTCACAAAATCATCCTCCTCAATCACATCTGCACTAGCATTTTTTTGGAAAAGAAACTCATCAATGAATCTTCCAAAAATATCATCAAAGGCCTTTTTTTTGTTTTCCAAAGTTTCTTGGCGAATGTTTGCAGGGAATGTATTTTTAGAGGGCAGATCCTCAACAGTTGACATTCCAAAGAAGGCAAGAGCAGCAGAAACAATATAAGCACGCCCAACACTAATAAACAGCTCTTCACTCCCTTCATAAGAGTCTAGCACCTTTGATGGGGTTGAATTACGACGATTAAATTTTTCTCTGAAATACTTGAGAGTTCCCACTTGGTTTACAGACTCTGCCTTGTGAAGAAATGAATATGAATACTGAAGCAGTGATGCCTTTGTGTGCCACATGACTGGTTTAAAAGGTGAGCAGTGTTCAAAACGGTCTGATGGAGTGTGTGACCCTGATAACAAATCTTTTGCACCAGCGAACCTCACTCTAGTTAACTGATCCTCTGCGAATGCCATTTTCATTTCACGGATGGGATCACCAGGGGTGTCTTCTCTATGTGCGTCAGGCTGCCCTGGTGCTGCTGGCCCAGCCGGTACCGGAGGGTTGTCAACTTCAGGAACTGCATCAAGTAAACCTGCTTTGACGTAAATTTCTACAATCCACTTTTCATAGCTTCTCAGAATGTGGACACAGTCCTCGTATTTAGCCTCATTTGCATCAATTATAGGCAAGCTCACAATGGTTGACCTCTTTGCCATTTCTTTACTGTACCTGTGAGGAATGTGGGCAGGTAGCACTGACTTGATCCACTTGAATTTGGGCAGGAATTCACATATGATTCTGCCAACAAGTACTTTCGCAGAATCTGCATACAGTTTCCATTCGCCAACATTTAACGAAAATTTGTGCCGTGGAAAACAGACAATGTCAGCTTTTGGATGGTCATTTGGCAGATGTGCAAAGTTCACTCTATTCTCGATAAGGTTGGAGGCAAACAGGTGAAGATCTTCATTCTGTATGTCCTTTCTCATGTGCCCCTTTAATACCTTCAGGTCCCAGTTGTCACCTGTTCCTCTGAAGACGCTTCCAGACTTTACACGTTCAACTGCTTTGTCTGCAAAGTGCCCACCCAGAAGTTTAAGCAAAACATCTCGTCTGCCATGGGATAAACAAACACCAAGTCTGTTCAATCGTTCTTGAAGCTGCATAGAAATGGGCATTGAAGTTCATTAGAATGAAAAAATACTTAAATGTTACAAACAAGGTAATCTCACACAGAGACAAAACCATCCTCACATACACGTCTAACGTCTTTAAAGCTTACACTGACACATAAAATCAAATCAAATACGACGCAACAAATTACCGCTGAACTTCATGCAACAACATAATAAAATGCACAGGACTAACGCACTGGTTTGAAATTTTATGATCTAGTCAGAAGTCCATCCATCGGGTTCTTATTTTCTGCCACTTTAATATTCAAGGAAGTGTGGATAATTTGAACAAAATATAAGAAATGTCACAGGTAAGGTACGTATGAAATAGATCAGCAATTTATGTAAACTAGTAATAATAACTGGAAATCAGGGGAGTGTATTCGATTGGGAGGGAGGTTGCTGGGTAGGAGTGGCAGTAGTAATGGGTGCAAAACTTGATGAGCTTGTAAGATTGAAAAATCAAACTCAAACATAATAAGTTTATATCTATGTAAAATGTGGTAAGCGTGCTTTCGTCTCACATCTTCCACAATTATAAAACACAATTATAAACATTCTAGATAAAGAATTTCAGGCTGACTGTTTTTACACAAATAATACAATTGGTGTGTATATTGGGTTTTCATTCTGGATGTTTACAAAGTCTCAAAAAATTGTGCCTTCTTTCAAAATTGGGTAGCGAAGAGCAAGACCTCCACTTGAACCTGTACAAATACACAAAAACAGTACAAACCTTCTTGGTACATCCACCCTCAATAATCAGTATTGTGTTAACGCGTTTCAACAGACTCAGTTCATGCCATCTTTCGTTCATAAGAACCGAGTAGAGGAAGCAGAACTTGACACGCACATCAAGCTCGGTGTTTTCCATTCCTAAGTTCTTTCCAGACACGGCATTCATGATCTCTATGAAAAAAGGCACATTTGTTTTCATTTCTGTCCAAACGCGATCAAAATCAAATTCCTTCAAAGTCTCGAAGCTGTTCTTGTTGCTATATAAAACCGAGCCATCGGAGCGTCTGCATAACGTTTGACAAGCTGCGGCTATTTCATCTTTGATGGCCAATTTTAGGGCTGCAATCACACTCGGGCAACGTTACTTTATGACATCGGCAATGACAGCTGGTTGTGTGTTTGCCACCCGAATGAATTCTTCAGTGTCACCATCGATGAGTTTGGAAGCGTCGGGCAGCGAAGGTGTTTCATCCTGAAGAACAGATGCTAGAGGCAAAAACGATTGATTAGCCTCTCTCATGGGTTCTCGTTGTATGGCTTGAGCTTGAGCCTCTCCGAAATTGAGTTGCTTGGAAGAGCTTTCTGCGAAACGACGGAGCTCGCTGGTTGAGCGCTTTGAAGGCGGCTTGCACGATGGGGACAGCTCGACACAACGCTTCACTGAACACTGTTGTTCCAGCTGTATTTGCATTTGCATGCACCTTTGTCTGAAGTCACTCGCCCTGGACACAAATCCATCGCACTTCCTGCATATAAGCGTCGAGAGGGAATCACTTTCGGTTATGTCGATTCCACACACATTTCGAATCTTCGAGGCAAGATCTTCCTTACTGCCTTCCTTTTTACTCGCTCTACCGAAAACACGAGTCAAGTGACGGCTCTCAAATGCATCGCAGCAAAGCCGGCAAATCAATTTTCGAGGATGAACCTTTTTAGGAGTTGATTCCTCCATAAATTTCCGTCAATTACAGAATTTTGCTCTTTCAAAGAAGCCAGAATGGTGAGTTTCGCGTGGAGATTTCCTCCATGTCCGGGGAAAATTAATCACAAATCAATAGACTAATGTATTTTTCTGAAAAGCCGTCAACCAATGAGGATGCAGAATTGACCACAGGAATTCATACATTACCGTTGATATGAATATTTGATGAGCACACGTGACCAGCCGATGCCAGGGCCTTTTCCCGGCCCCACCCATTTTTTGAGGGAAAAGCC